GGATCCCAACCGGTCAGGGCGCTGGAGATCGTGCACCTGATCATAGGGCTGGAGACTTTGCAGCTGTAGCTGAGGAGGGGGATGCTGATGTCAGTATGAATGAACACGAAGCTGAGTTAGGAGGAGAAGAGGAAGCAGGCGTGGAAGTTGACGAGCTGGACGAGGACGAAGATCAAATCGATCCTACGCAGCCTCAAGGAGTTTCAGCAGGGGTAAGTCGCAAGACTCCTTCCGGCTGTCTCAGCACTTCGAGCTCAAATGCAGATACGAATTTCCAACTAACTATTATTCTTCCGTCCTTGCTCCCAGGGCGCTCAATTCACTTCTTTATTCGAGGATTAAAAAGCCCTTTTACGCTCGGCGGGGTACTGTAAAGTACGCATTCATTCTAATCTGAAAACCCGCAGGGCGGGGCAGGTAGTCAATGGCGAGTACCGGTGTTCATTAGTAATTGGCCACGCCGCCACGCACTATGCAGCTACTACGAACGATGTAGAGCCATTTCGAGTCATTCGCACTTTCGTCCGGGCGAAGGTGACCCGACGCGAAGTGAGAATTGCATAGTAATAGTGTCGTGTAGTATCCCTAAACCTTCGGGTTTCTTTCAAATTTGAATAGCATGTTGTATAGCGTCCTGCAGCCATGCACTGTAGAGTATCATATATCAATATTTGCGAGTCTCCACCGTAATAACGTACTGCTGCTGACGATGTTGACTGCACAGCCGCACAGCGTCTTTTGACAACTGAAAAGAAGAGTATGATTGTGTTATACCGTGCTGTACTCGCACACGATCAAATTCGACACGATGTCCAGTCGTCTGGCTTTGCGGTCCATGATCTCGAGTTTCGGCCGTGGCATTCCACGATGTAACGTCTGAACACATCGCACGACATGGAGCACATGCGTATAGCCCATGATTACACCTTCGCCAAATCGATGCCGCTCACGATTACGAGATATGCATGTATATATATATCTGTATATATACGACGACTCGAGTATCTGATACTGTATGATATATGGAATGATCAATAATGGTCCTCATATGACTATATACCATGATAAGAGGTCGAAGACCTCTTTCCCCCCTTTCTTTTTGATTTTCTGTTTCTTTGTGTACCAATATATTGCTACTACACTTCCAGTCCCAGGGTTTAATCCGCCCTCTTGATAGAGCTCATTCGGTGTCCTGTTCCATCAGCAGTGACCTCGGACCCAGCTGAGTGTCCGTTCGCATGAGCATGATGAGGTCGATCGACGACGCCTACTTCGCTTCTTGCCAATTCGAGCAAAGCGCCCAAGTCTCGAGGTCCGATGAAGTGCCGTCTTCCGTCTACTATCCATGTGATGACAGAGATGATGACTGTGAACAGCATACGAGCGAGAATAGCAGCATATCAGTGATTAGCTAATCATTTAGGTTGAAGATCAGGTGGTGGATGATTTTTAGGACAATTACAGGGAGAGGACGTTACTGTCACTCACAGACGATACCCAATACAGCAACGGCGTAGTTCATGTTCTCACCAGTCACAGGCAAATCAGGTGGGAAGAGGAAGAAGACAGTCGTGAGCGCTGTAAAGCTCAATCCGACCTGTACGATGAACATTCAGCTTTGGTCAGCTATGAATCCCTCATCATTGATTATGAATATTGTCATAGTGAGAACAGTTGCGTAAGAGACACTCACGAGATTGGCGATAGGACCGAGAATCGGGCCGAGAGTCCATGTGGGAGCGGGCAAAGAAGGGGGTCTGAGGATATGCCTGCCTCGAATGACGACAAGGAGGACTAAGCAGAGTTAAATAAGCAAAATGTCAGCTTGGTATTCCTGTGATACCCGCGCTACGGTTCCAAAGCTTGTCGGGCGCTTAACAGGAGGATGTATGACAAATCCAGAACTCACTTGGAATGGAGTAGGAAATGTTCAAGAAAACAACCGAGCTCGACAAGATCGCATTCAAAGCGGTACTCGATCCGAGGTAAACACAACCAAAGATGATAACCAACGAAGTGGTCAACAGAACCGACGGGATAGGCACTCCATTCCTGTTCATGGTAGCGAACACTCTCGAGAACGGCAGTCCCCTATCTCTGGCGAAAGCATACGACATCCTCGAAGAAGCAGTCAAAAGACCCTGAGCGGTGAAAGCCATTGCGCAAATAGGGAAGATCTGCAAGCATACAGCACCTGCTCTTGATCCTGTAGCTTGATACATGGATTCAAGCAAAGCTCCCGCCGAGGAAGAGTTTACCATGTCGACGTCTTTGATGCCGAATAACAAGCAGATGAGGAATACGAAGGAACTCGAGGCACCGATGCAGACTGCTAGGATCATCGTTTTGGGCGCGTTCAAGTGCGGGTTCGGCATCTCTTCGACCATGTGCGAGACGGCGTCATAGCCAGTGAGGCCGAAGGAGCCTGGAGAAGCACAGCGGTAGGTTAACAGCGAGTCAGCTCTACGCTACGCTGGACGCGGTGCGTATATCCGGATGGAACGGTATGTTATGCGACATCCTCACGCAGGATAGATGAGCAGGAAACGCCCGACTCACTCTGCAGTAGACCGAGCAGCCAGGCAACACCGTTGTTCCATCCCGTCTCGTTGATGTACGTCCTAAACACGAAATCGCCCGACTGGAAATCAGGCGAAGCGGTCGAGAGACAGGTGATGATGATGACCACGGCGCCGGTGAGAGACCTGCGATTCACATGGTATAGCCCAACGACAAGGTGTCAGCTATCTTCCCACCTATGTCATGCTGGGCCTCCAACCTCGAAATATCATGCGCAGCTTCGAATCCGCCAGCAGCAAACGCACGGCAGGATACCGTCACAGTCTTGTGTACGATTCTTTGTAGGCAAAAGGAATAGATGACACCCTTGCGCACAACTCAACTCACCAGAAAATAGCAGTTTGATTGATCTTAGGCAAGAGCCTCAATCCAAAGATATTCAACGCACAAGCGCCGAGTGTATACACGGTGTAAATCAAGAAAATGTGCCATCGTTCGACTTCGTAATTGGGGTGCAAGAGGGCGATAACACCTGTGATGAGTGATCCAGCGAGGGAACCTGCAGTGGCTGTAAGGGCGATCCAACCTGCTACCGCGAACCAGCCGCATGTCCATGAGATTGCCTGGAACGAGGGAACATCAAAGGGGGTTTAGTATGATCATGCCTCCAAATCTTAGTATGGCACTGACGAACAGAGGAGGACTGTGTAGCCGTGGGGCGAGCGAAATTAGTGGATCAAGCCGAGCGGAGAGGAACCACTTACAGGGGCCATTCGCGCGGGCGACAGAATCGCTGCCCAGTGATACTGTCCTCCGGCTGTAGGGTAAACATGGCAAATCTCCGCCATACTAGCAGCCATGGCCAAGTTACCGATGAAAGAAGGGATGATACCCCAGATGACAGCTGTTGGGCCACCGGACGGTAAGGCGATCGACAGAGAGGTGGCCATCGCTGTCCACGAATTCAGGATAGCGTACGCGAGACCAACTGTGGGACAAAGATCTTCAGCATTTCCCCTCCTTACGTCCAGTCTTTCACCCTTCGAAGTCGTGCTTGATACACGGCGTCCTGTCCCAGCCTGTGATTCCTTATATTGCGGTTGAATACTCGTCCGTCAATGCAGTTAGAACGCAGGACTCACCCAAACTCAGCAGACGGAATTGCTTAACAGGTCCTGCACCACCGTGTCCTCCCATATGTCCAAGCTCATTCCCATCACCATGACCACCCCTGTAAACATCAGGTCGAGATGCATACGGTCCCAGGCCAACTTGTTCTCGCTGAATCGACTCGTACACCTCTTGTCTTGAATAAACACCTTTCGAGGGGTCTGAAGGGTCCACCATTTGAGCACTACCACCATCACCGCCTTTGACAGGCGTGATGTGATCGTCTGCGTGCATGTTGGAATGCCTGCGCTATGTGGGGGGGTCAGGGCTGGTCGAGTCGCGCAAGATGATCGCTTTGAGTACGGTTTAAAGGTAACACTTGTTTCCCTCCCTCAAGCGCGAGATTGAGATGGATAGATAGATAGATAGATCTTACTTGTTGTTATTCGTCGACTGATTAACGGATTTTCGAACCGACCAGGCAGGAAGTCTTTTCTTTCTCTCTCTACTTTTCTTTCTCAGGCTGTACTCGTACTCTTCCCATGAGCGTCCAGGCTTGGTTTCAGTCGTGGCTGGCCAACGACAGCTTGCGCAAACGATATATCTATCTATTGCAGAACAATTCGTGGATGTGTGTTATATCTCGCTTAAGTACTTACTTATCTTTTGATCACTTCATTAATCGCTAATGAGTCAGACGTTTATTTATTTATGATAACAGCCCTTGCATCCTATCCATTTGGCTCCAGCTTAGCGAGCTCGACAATAATAATTTTGTGGAGTATCAAGCGACCAAGCGAGAAAACCTAGAGCCCCACTCTGGAGAAAATATCAAAGACAAAACAATTTCAATATTTCAATAGCCGAATCCGAAAGATGCGTTCATCATCGAAAAATCGAAAATAGTCACTAAATCAAACACAGTAGCAGGTTTCGTTGACATACGACTCTCTTGATTCCGTGATGCCGTCGACGTCGACGTCGGCTTTTTCTCTATGCCCAGCTGTCTGTCTGTCTGCTGAGCTCTCGTAAGCTGAAGCAAGGCAAGGCAAGGCAAAGGCAAAACGTTAAAACCGGTTCGGTCGTCATATGCTATATGCTCTATGCTATATATAGGCATAGACAGATGTGTTCCTGACTGTGCATGTGTGGGGAATACTTCCCGGTGGGATCTCTGACTAAATAGATAGTCTGATTTTTGTCTCGCTTAACTCACTCACCTAATCACAAACATCGCTAAGAGACTTCGCATCGGACCATGTTCAGCGATATTCAAGTGGAAGGACGAGATGTTCATTGAACACCGGCCGGCTATGACCGATTTGAGTGGGTTGCTTGTCGCGAGACCAGATGTTGCCATACCAAAAAGTTGACCCTGACCCGACTCGAACGGATAACCTACAGATCATTCGCTTCGGAGACCGAAGATCGAATTGGAATCTGACGCGCTACCAATTGCGCCACAAAGCCGATACTGACTGAATTCTGACAACGTATATATAGTGTTGTTAAGAAGGGATAATATCCAGCCTTCTGAACCCTGCCAGGACCGGTCCCGAGGATTGGCGCATAGGCGACGGGGATCAGAAAGACACGTTCTCCTCGATATGACAATTGCTGCCGCAAGAGGCTCAAGTGTAAATGATTGCATGATGCTGATTTATTGGCTACATATGTGTGCTCTGTTTGCTTCTTCTTCTTCTTCCTCAATGACGATTGCCAAATTCCGCTCCCTGCGGTCCGACTGCACGGATAGACGTAACCCTTAGAGACTGTGAGACAACAGGAAATGAATAAACTTCTATAAAGGCCAGTAATCAAGGATCGAAAAACTCACGTCAATCGCTGGAGACCCTCCTGGAAAGCCTGGACGATGGTCTCAAGAGAAGGCTGACTGGCGCCCTCATTGGCCTCGACAAGCAGTACGAACGTAGCGGTTCGAGTAGCGATGAGAGTCTGTGTCCATACGATAAGAGTCAATTTCATTCCGCTTACTTCTGACGCACCCTACTGTCGAAAGGAGAATTGCAGATCAAAGGGTAAGGAAGATATGCTAGGTACACTCATGCTCACCTTGCCGTTCAGCTCAGCGACCATGGCTTCACCGTCTCCGCTCTTCACGGTCGCTCCGCCCTCCTTGCCTACGCTGAAGTGCTTGGGGGGTTCACCGTCTCCGCTGGCGACAGTGGGGTCACCCTGTCGAGAGTAGGTTAAAAGACCATCAAGGATCTGTTCCAAACCCGAATCGATGATCAGCATGCATAATTCAAAGAGGGACTAGACATCATTTAGAAGTGACTACAGGGGATAATGAATCGTGAGCCCACCTTTCGAATGTCCTCAGGCTCAACGTCAAACTGCTTGGTGGAAGAAGCGACGCAAAGGAAGTCATCCTGGTCGTAGAGAGCCGCTCGGGAGACTTCAGATCGGTTCAGGACCCTGTTCTTGAGGAGAGCTTCGGGGTCGCCGCCGTCACCCTGGCTGTTCATCTGGGCAATGGTAGCATGGTCTTCAGTAGGCTCCTTGTGACCGGAGTGTCGAAGAGGGGCGGATTGCTACAAGCATCGTCACCGTTGGTAAGCATGATTGAGACCTGGCGCAGGACGATAGCTATAGCTGGACAGCTGGACATGGGCGTCTGATTACTCACGAGGTTCTGAGTGGTCATTGTTGCTGGTAGGATTGCTTGTATTATCTTAATTTTTTAAATGTGCTATGTGTATGTGGTAAGAGTGAATAGAGAAGGTTCAAAAACGCATCAACCGACAAGAGTGAACACTTTGTACACTTCTACCAGTATCAACCAGAAAGAGAAAGCTACTGTTACTTCCATTATGCCTTTGGAGTAGCAATCATCTTTGACGTCACATAGGATGACGTGCAACATCGAAGCCAGAGCAAAGATCACGACTACTCGTGGCATCTGAGGCAAAAGCTTGTACAGTATCAAATAACCGGACTGCTTAGCCTGTTACGCTTTTGCAAACGAGATGGAGGTCACAAAATCCCGCCCATCGTATCGTGAATTCCGATCACCTTTGACTAACATCTCTCTACGTAATGAGTGTCTCTAGGCTACAGGCATAACTAACGGTACTCACGATCGATATCGTCGGAATCATAGATCGGATCGGTGACTCACCGTCGCGTATCATAGCCATCAACGGCGGTCATCTCCGTCGAACGGTGACCTGAACCGCGTCACGTGATCAAGATGATAATTTTGTTTACGACGGCTTACTCCGCCGGTTGCTGTTGACACCGTAGATAGCTAGCTATAGCAAGTAGATGACTGCTGTGACTCTCTTCAGATATGAAGTGGACATGTAATAGGTATTTCGAAGTTTTCATGTTGAGATCATTCTCAAGGCGTTAAACAATATAGGACAATCCGACACTATGGACGCCAGCGAAACAATTCAGGATGTCAATATCGAGGAGGGCGGGGACTCGGACGCGGAGCTCGAAGCTGCCGTTGTCGTAGAAGACGACATCAAGGCCGAAGCGAGCGATGTTCCTGTTCATCAAGTGGAAATTTCAGCCATACCTGCCGATACCACTACGATAGCTTCCGGCTCGACTCAAGCTGCCACTTCTCCATTCAAGCTCCCGCCAAACCCCACTATCCCTCAAGACCTTTCGATCATCATGGATATGGTCGCGAACAACGAGGTGGTCGGCTCATTACCGTCCGTGTCAATGTCTGCTGCGGAGAAGAGAAAGCTTGTAGAAGCTAGTCTGGCGAAGAACAGGGAGAAAGGCCAAGAGAAGGAAAGCGTAGAAAACATCAAGCAAGAGACGGTGGAGCAACTAGCTGTTGCCGGTACTGGCTTGAGCGACGAGTCATCAAGCGAATTTGAGTCAAGTAGTGAGGAGGAGTCTGACTCGGAAGAAGAAGGCCAGGAGGGAAGTAAGCCGGTGGACGCTAAACCGATGACCAGCGAGGAGCACACCGTTCTGAAGAAAGAGCTCGATGAGTTTGTGAATCAAGGCGGAGCGGAGGTAGAAATGGATTCTGCTGTCGAAGACGCTTCCGACTCCGACCTAGACTCAGACGATGAAGGGGACTTGTCGTATCCTAATCTCGGAGCAATGGGATTCGAATTCATGGAAGACGATGAAGATGATGTTGGACTTTCGAGCGGAGCGGCTATCACATCAACGCATGAAGCGCCCTTACCACCGGTCGCTTTGCCTCCCATGGAGAAACTGCCTGAGGGCGAAGGCGTCAGCTTAGCGGGCGATGTCGTTAGCTGGATGAGGGAGAAGAAGGTCGAGCTATGGTTGGAGAAGAAGGCCAAGGAGGAGGCTGAGATTAAGGCTGAGACCGAAGCTCAAGCTTCTGTAAAAGCTGAGCAGGGGGAGAGCGAAGCCAAGTCTGAGACTCTAGGCCCGAGTGAAGCGGAAGGGATGGATGGCCAGGCAGAGAAAGAAGAAGGAGCAGCTGCGATGACCAAATCCGTAGTTGGCCCCTCATCAACGAAGAAACAAACGGAACCCAAATTCACCTCGTCCGGTACGGTGGTTGTACGTGCAATGCAATCACGGCCTGGTGCAGCGGACGAAGGATGGCTTGAGGAGGGCAGTGTCCTGTGTTGGGAAGATGGACGGGTTCTGGGTACGGTGAGTTGGCGTATTCTGTTATTCTGCACTGAGTTGAGTGCTCTTATCCAGACTCTTTTGCTGACATATTGCTCATTGTATATCGGACAGGTTCACGAAACATTCGGACCTTTGACCTCACCATTCTATACCATTCGTCTCCCTCCACCTCCATTCCCTTACCCAACTCCTGAACAGCTCAATGTCGGAACAAGGCTCTTTTACCCTCTGAGCCCGTCCTATCGATCGTTCGTCAACATGCTAGCGTTGCGTGATCCTCGTCTGAAGGGATCTGACGCGTCGAACTTGTACGACGAAGAGATCGGGGAAGATGAAGTCGAATGGTCCGATGATGAAGCTGAGGCCGAAGCTAAAAAGAGGCGAAAACAGCGTCGAGCGGGACCTAAAACTCCCAGCTTAGCATCAGGCGGCAACAAGGGAAAAGACTCCGTTCGCGGGTCTGGGTCTGGGTCTGAATTTGCGGGAGGTCAAGGTCCAGCTCATGGATTGCCTGCGAGACCTCATTTCGATTATCAGCCAAACGACGAGACTGCTTTCTCCGAAACGGGCAGCATGTACGGCGGTGACGACGAGGGAGATCGATGGGAAAATATGTCTGTGTCGGATATCGGCTCGACAGCGAGCACGCGAGGGAGACCCAAACCCGCTCCATATGACTTGGAAGGCGACACATCGATGGAGGTGCAACATTCTTCTGAAAGCGGTGGTAGAGGGAAAGGAAGAGGGAGAGGAGGTCGAGGCGGCGGTGGAGGTGGAGGTGGAAGAGGACAAGGGAGAGATAGAGGGTCCGGTCGAGGACGAGGGGGACGAGGTAGGGGAGGTAACGCCCAAGCTGGCGGCCGCAATGACTCGAATGCTGCGGGTAACCAAACGACATTCCCTCTTCCCTCGAATCCAATGACCATGGGCATGGATATGGATATGGGCAGTCAACTACCCATGAACCCGATGATGTACCAGAACCAACCTCAAAACTACGCTCAACCTCAACCCCAATCTCAGTCACCAATGCACGGCGGATTCCCTCAACAACATCAACAATTCAACTCTTTCCCTCAACATCAGCAACAATTCTTCCCTCAGCCCAATTATAGTTACCCGCAATCACAACAGAATTTCCAAGGCTATTCCCCAGGTCAACAGCACATGGGGTACCCACAATCGCCCCAGCCCCAGCAACAAGGTTATAGTAACCATAGTAACAACGACGCTTACGAACCTCATCAGCCAGCCACAGGTATGCCTTCCGCCTCAAACAACACCGCGTTCCAACCTCAACCGATCCAACAGGCATTCACGCCCAATCAACAATCAGACAACGGTAACGGCAGCGGTGTGCCGGCTATCAATCCTCGATTCGCCGCTCAATACCAACAAATGATGAACATGAATATGAACATGAACATGGGAATGGGCATGGGTATGGGTATCAACCAGCAAGGATGGCAAGGTCAAGGTCAAGGTCAGAACCAGAACCAGAATCAGAATCCATACAACCAATGAGGAAGGCCGCTCTAGTTTCGTCCTTGTACTGCATCTCTGCAAATTGCTGTGAATACACATTATATGCATGATCATGGCATGAATTTGATTGTCCGGACTCTCTAACCCAAATTATTCAATATGAACGTGTTAAACCTATCAGTATATATACACTATCTAACAAAAGATGAACCGAACAGGCTGCGTCTCTACCCGTCGCGTTCCGTGAGCCACTGACTACTTCCCTTGGATTTAGGATAACTGTTATACACATGTATGGGTCGATACGCCTAGTCCAAGCCCTTCCTGCTCAATATCGATCGGATCTCACGATGCTGCTCGAACCAAGCGGGGAAATTGGTCTT